CTCCGCCACACCTGGAATGACTCTGGCCTGCGCATTCAGAGGATTGGGGTTGTAGGGTTCAACCTCACTTCTTTTCGCTGGTTGTCTACGCTCTTTGTATCGATAAGGTTTGGGCAGGGTCGGTAGATTTCAGTGCGTTTACAGTTCATGTTGCTTCTTGTGAAGCTCATCATGCGCTAAAGCCTGTTGACCCGCAAACCCGCAGCTCAATGCCACAAGTTTGGAATCGCGAGTCCAAAACCCTGTACCCCTGGATCCTACACCACCAACTCCGGAACCCCAAACCCCTATATAAAGCCCTATACGACAGTCCTCGGTTGGGTGCACACCCTATGGACGGCGCCAGAATAAACCCTGTAGTTTCTTCAGAACAGCATCTCTGACTTTTTGAGGATCCATAACAGTCAAAAATCTGACCCCATCGCTCAGAACATGCCGTAATGATTATGAGCCCGCTGACTTGTAGGCATTTCGGAGGAAGCTAATGCCAGATGCCACCGCAGTTGTGCGAAGCTACTCATGCGCTTCCTGTGCTATGGCAATAATTTAGACTGATCCCCTCCACCAGCAAAAATCTGGAAAAGAGAGCAGTCAGCGACTCGACGGTGTCGCTGGGGCTCATTCGATGAGACATCCGAGGACCCGCTTCCGCACAGGCACAGTGGAACGCCGAGGGTCTATTTGCGAAGCTTTGTAGTTTGTTGTTTTTGTTTAACCAGCTATTTGTTTAGGATCCTTTAAAGTAAACCCAAACAGGGACTACAATGAGACTATAGGTACAGTACAAAAGGACACATCTGTGTTCTTCTCATGCTTAATTTTCCCTGCTGCAGCATTGGCATAGCACATCCAGATGCCTCGTAACCTTGTAGGCAACAACGACAAGTACTTCTTTGGTACTTCTCACTAGCCCAGACAGCCTGCATGCAGACCTGATGCCACATCTCTGCGTTGGACATGCAGACCTCGCCTGCAGCTGCAAACCACTATACCGTAAACCTGAATCCATTTGGGTAGTTGTCAAAATTATGGTCCCTTTTTGGGCACCCTAAATATTAGGGGCCGTATTATAATAAAGACCAAAAAAGGGATCATAATCTTGACAATCACCCATTTGAAACTTGAAAGACCAAGCCAAAATTCCAGTAGCTGAAGAAGGCCAAGCGGTCTCTGCGACTCAACTCCAACCCTTGACATACAGCCCCTCAGGATGACCACTTACCTTTTGCGTAGGACCCCTGAATGCTAGAAAGAAAGTCCAAAACCTTTCGCCCTACACTCTAGACTCTAAACCCTTTACTACACATCTACAGCTCTAACCCCCCAAAGTCTCAACTCTAAAAGCCTATACCCCAAAAACCTGGATCCAGATGCCGAGCTGCATGGCACATGGCGAAGAAGACGACGGGCAAAGCACTTAGATACCTTTTCGCGACTGAGAGGGCGCCGGTGAAAAGCCTACGGGTTCTACAGGGGGCTTTACATGGTTATATATGGGCTTTGCAGAGTTTTAGAAGGACTTTACCGGGTTCTACAAGGTACTACTCGGGAACCTAGAAACCCTAGACCCTTGAAAGAAGCCCCTCCCCCTCCCTCCCCACATTGCGAACAAAGACGCGGATTGGGCGTGGCTTGCTTTAGTAATCAAATCCCAAGCCATTGGCCGCCCGCGCCCGGCGGCGGCCGGTACCACTGAACGCTACCGCTTCGAGATCTGTTTGCTTGGCCAAGCAGATCGAGTCTACCAGACCTGATTTGGCACTGCTAGCCATGGGGCACAATAGTAAAATTGGGTACCCTTATCTCCCAGCGCGAGAACCCTGGCGGGGACGGGACCTGGTAGAAAGAGCTTGACGAGCGACCGTGGTGGGTATGGCGGGCGACTCTGGCGGGGACGGCGGGCGACCCTGGCGGGGACTTGGTGGACGGACGACTTTGGCGGGGACGGCGCGCGACCCTGGCGGGGACGGCGGGCAACCCTGGCGGGGACGGCGGACGACTCTGCTGTGACAGCAACTAAAAAGGCCAAAAACAGCTTGGCAGACGACTCTGGAGGGGGACGGTGGACGACCCTGGCGGGGACGGCGCCCTGGCAGGGACGGCGGACGACTCTGGCGGACTCTGGAGGGGATGGCGGACGGGACGGCGGGTGACCCTGCGGGGACGGCGGACAACTCTGGTGGGGACTTGGCGATGACTTTGACAGGCACGAAAAGGCCAAAAACAGTTTGGCAGACGGACGCCCCTGGCGGGGACGGCGGGCAACCCTAACGGGGATGGCGGACACTCTGGCGGGCACTTGGCTTTGACAGCAACTAAAAAGGCCAAAAACAGACGATTCTGGAGGACGGCGGACGACCCTGGCGGGGACGGGGCGATCGTGGCGGGGACGGCAGACGACCCTGGCAAGGACAGCGTAAGGACCTGGGCGGGGACGGCGACCCTGACCAAGCGACCCTGGCGGGGACAGCGGGGTGACCCTGCGGGGACCCAGTGACAGTGGCCGACTCTGGCAAGGAGCTTGGAGTGCGAGTCTGGCGGCAAAGCTGGACAATTCTGGCACGGACTGCCGGGCGAAAAAACCCTGGCGGCCGACTGGATGATCAGCACTCTTGGCCGGACTGGCACGGACAGCGGACGGCTGCAGACCACTTCTGGAGGCCTGGCACTGGGCCCTGACGGACGACTCTGACGACGGCTGACGGACGACTCTGGCGGCCGGCGAGGACGAGCGAGGGCGTCGCTGCTATTTTGTGACGACATCACTCGGATGTCCCTTTGACGTTCCGCAACATTGCAACGTCTTTTCGGCTAGTGCAGCACTCGAATAAGAAGAAGCAGAACACAAAACCCGTTCTAGTCCTGCTTCGGGTGGTTGTGGGTGGGTTCCACGTTACGAAGACGGCGCGACCCACGACCACTCCATGGGTGGGGCGCGCCGTGGCACTGTGACACACCCTAAACCCTAAACTCTAACCCCTTTAAACCCTAACCCCTGCACCCTAAACCACACTCTCGTGTATCACCTTTTTCTTGCTCCATGCAATCAGGCTTTCAACTTGCAATATGGGGGGGTTTCCAACAATGGGGTAGTACCTGTTTTGGGGGTCTTGAAAAAGGATCCTACTATTTAGGGTACTACATTAGGGTCCCCTATTTTCGGGAACTCCCATGTATAAGTGTTGGTCAATCTTGTTCTGGCTGGTGTCGAGCCTGGCGTCGGTCTTGATAACGACGGCTGCCATGCTGCTTGCCACCTTCACCCTTTCTGGGGGAGATGTGCTCCCACGGCATCAAAATAGGTCTCCTGTTGCGTCGCATGTCGGCTGTAACTTCCGCTGCCAAGATTCAACCTCCAAGCTGAGGCTCTGAGCTGCTTCAATCGCTGAACCACTGGGAGATACATGGATGGATCTACGATGAATATGGAGTCCATGCGCCTAGTGTAATATAGGGGCCTAATTAATTGCCGATACTATTTTGGGGGTTCCTTATTATAACTGTAGATTAATGGGTACCAAAACCGGTTCTAATTATTCAGGCCCCTATATTACATGCTCTGCAAACGTGAAACATCACGACGCTGCTGCCGATGTCAGGGGTCTTTCACGTATGAAGGCTAGAAAGAGCATAAAGTGGAACTGAAAAGCCGCCTAATGTAGGGGCCTTCATAATTAGAAGAGGGATTTGGCCTCCTTTATGCTAGAATTATAACAAGGAGCCCCAAAATTGTATAGGAAATTATGTACATTAAGGTCAGCCCTGATAGCCCAGAAAACCCCAACTCCGGCATAAAGCCAAGGCACTTGGCCAAGTTCACCCTCTGCAGGTCACGGCTAAGCCTCAGGCGGCACACCAAAAGAACAACCACAAAGCAAAACTGTACGTAGACACGAATGTATGTATGTATGTATATATATATATATATATATATATTCATATATATTCATGTATATATATATATATGTATATACCTGTATGTATACGTATATACATGTTCATATACGTATATATATATATATATGTATATACATATACATATATGTATATGTACACATACATATGCACACACACACACACACATGCGAACATCCCTTTGGCGGGTATATAGCTGGACAGATAGATAGACAAACGGATAGACGCACGGGTAGTGAGATGGATAGAAAGAAATGTGGAGAAGGATGCAGATGAAAAATAGATATATAGATAGGTGGATAGGTGCACAAGAAGATAAAAGGTCCTCAATACTGAGGATCCAAGTCCAGTAGGTTCTGCTCTCTGTAAGGTTTAGGGGTGTCGGGACGGCAGGTTCCATAAATCAACTCCCCTTCTTTCAGCAAAAGTCTTGTGAGGCCCCGATAAAGAGATTATGGGTCATCATACGCCCTGAGCTCTTAAGCCCATAAAGACTACCCAGAGACTCCAACATCCCCTAATTAAGGAGTATACCTCAAATCATATTAGGGATCCTACTGTAATGGTATATTCCTTAAATTAAGATATTGGAGTTTCTGGGTGCCACTGACTCAGGGAACCTTAGCACTGTACGCATAGAACAACTCGGGACCTAATCAGTTGGCTGTTAATCCCTGGCCCACTCAGCCTTACAACCCCGAGCCCTAACGACCAAAACTCCAAGGCCTTATACTTATGCATAAACCCCAAACCCGAAACACTGAAACCTAAACCGTATGCAAAACCCTCAAAGGTGTAGTGGCAGAGCGGTGGACTTCTGACACAAGTAACATTGGGGCTGAAACTCTGAAATATCTGCAAAGACTCCACAAAGGGATCCTAAACCATACAGCCGCTGCAAAGCAGTCTTAGATGCCATGGCCATGACGGTGGGATAAGATGCGAACGGAACGAGAGCATAGTTACAGCCCTTTCACCAGACCTTTTGCTCCTTGCTATTGACTTTGGGCCTTTCCTGTGATGTTCAGGATTCACCAATAACGGCGAGGCAAACAACCAAAGACCCAAAGATAGCAGCAAGCCACGCATCCGGAGCATGACGCGAAGTGATGATGCACTGCCGCGCCCGGATCCTAAACCGTCATGCGTGGGAAACCCATTGTCTGTCTAATTATCTATGTATGCAAACCTGTACATATACCTATATTTCCCATATATAAGGGCATGGGCATCCAGCCCACTCAGCTTCGGGCTTCGGACGCAGCTTACGCAGCACGGAGTTTGGTAGAATAGGGTCGCCTTCTTTTGCACGTTCGTTTCATTAATCAGTTGTAAGGGTTCATCAGTGGTTAAAATTCTACGCTGCTGGGTCCCCTATTTTTGCACTTCCCACCTGTATCAAACCGCTGATACGGCACCTAGGCAAGCTTCGAGTAGGTTGCAAAAGCGAACTTACGTTGGGAAACATAGAGAAACCCAACATCGCCCCACGCAAGTAAGTCCCATGCTGAAGCTCTGAGAGACAGTGGCTCTCACAACTGAGCCAAATCCAAGCATGTCGTTGCTATATGTAATGTAACAGTGTTCATACGGTGTAATAGAAACCCACGAAGGAGCACCACATGTGACAGGAACCAGCAGCTGCGCTGTTGTTGCTTCATACTATGCAGACAAGCCCGAATCCTTGAACGGAGTTGTCCGCGGCACCGGGAAAAAACAAGGCCTCGTCCGAAGCAAGGACGTGCAACCACTTTCTGTTTCGCTACATCTATGTGTGCATTTATGCAGGTACGTCTACTGCAGCCCATGACCACAGCCCTAAACCCTAAACCAAATCCACGAAAGCCTTTCGAGCCCGACAGCCTTCAAGAATTATTCCTGCGGGCTCTGGAGGGTTTGGGATGGTTTAGGGTCTATTTTTTTCATCTTCCCTAAACGACTTCCTTGAAAGGATTTTTAGATTCCAGACGGCTAGTTCATACCCGCCACAGGTCCCTCTCGTTCATCAAAGGCCAGGTGATGGAACTCTAAACCCTACCTTTACCAGTTTCCGTAAAGAAACAGGCAAGCTAAAACTGAAATCCTCTCCGAGAGGGAGCCGAGTACCCTAGCCCAGACGAGTATGACAGTTGATTTACGGTAGGTGCGAGGTTCCATGCCCAAAAAGTTAGAGGCTATTTGATATGCCACGCCGCGAAGCTCCATTATGAACCCTAAACCCTAAACCGCTCAATTACGGCCACTATGTTCGCAAGAAGACCTACGCTTGAACCTGAAATCCGGATGACCAGCGTCAGGAAGGGATAAGCCGCAACCCTAACAACGCCCTAAACCCTGAAAATCCGAAAGCCCTAAACCCCCTAAGGCCACTATAAGCCGGAAGGTCTGAAACCTTGAAATCCTAAACCCTCGAGTCGTTTTAATGCCTAGTCTCAGGAAGGGCAGTGCCCAAGCTGCATAGGGCAGAGGGGACCTAGTGCACCTGTTGGCTTCCGTTGTGTCGGTGCTTTGGGGCTTAAGGCTTTTTAAGCTTGGGTTTAGGGGTCTAGTCTACTTGTAGGTGTGTTTAGGGTTTTCGGGTTTATGATTTGGGATTGTTAGGGCTTAGGGGTTTTGCTTCCTACTACGGTTGAGCGGCTTGGAGTTTAGAGCTTTGTGGATTTGCGGTTTAAGCTGCGCAGTTGCAGGACTTAAGAGTTTACATAATTTCAGGGTTCAGGGCTTATGTTATCGCGGCTTGGGGTTTAAGGTTTGTTGTGACGTCTTTCAACCAAAACATGCGCTGAGTGCGTGGTGCAGCGACTATCGGAGCAGCCAAACCTGGGTACTTTAGGGCTCCTGGTTATAGTAACCCCCTATTCTAATTAAGGCCCCTATATTAAGTTAAAGTCCAAAAATGCACGTTTAGCAGGGTCCTTGTCGGGGATGTTAAGCCCATCCAGGGCTTGGGTTTGGGATGTAGGACTTGTGCTTGGAGGGTCGGGGGACTTAGTAACTGGTTATTCTAGGGACTTATATAAGTACCATAACCCCAACTAGGGTCCCTTTTAGGGTACTTATAAGTCTACTTACTACCTACTTACTAAGTCCCCCGACCCTCCAAGTAAGGTGAGTTCGCACATGAAGTTGAGCTTCAGGGCTTTGCAGGGGTGCCTTATACTGTATGCAGGTGCGAAAGGCAGGTAGCAACCAAGTAACTACAATAAAGAAGGGGCGTGTTTGTGTTAGACTAGGGTTTTGCGGGTTCCTAATTATAGTTAAATTTTATAATATACACCAGAACCCGATTCTAATTATTAAGGTCCCCACACTAAGCATAGGAATGAATGAGATAGGTTCTCGCAGTCTCCGGTGGTGTTCGTTTGGAGTTATCAAATCGTGGCACGCTGGAGCGACTAATATAGGGGCCTTAAGAAGTAGAATAGAATTTAGGGGGCCCATGTTACTATGATTCGAATAAGGAACCCCCCATCATAGTACAGGAAAATATTTAGGTCCCTATATTAGGGATGCCTTCGGAGGCTTGCCGCGTGGTTGAACCGCTACTTCAGCACGCACAACCTGTTCTTCTATGAAAACTAGTTTCTTGCGCGGACCGGTTCAAGGACAGGACCGTACATCACAAAGGAACGCCACCAGCTGATCAAGACAAAGACATACCTAAGCTATCTAGTTTTTAGAGAACCCAATACCCGTCTTAAGATCTCTATATTTGGGGCAATCTAGCGAATACATACTCGACCAAAACTCTAGGGTGTCTCTAGTTACGATCGCGGCCTATCTCTCCGGTGGCCTAAAACATCTGCCTACCTAGAAGCACCACATTCTAAGCCCGAAAACTCACAAACTGCCAACCCTTGCCCTTCTTGGATTCTTAGATTTAGTGCTTAGGTTGTTTTGCCCTTCTTAGACTAAGAAGGTAAAACTTTTCGATAAAACAACCTAAACACACAATTCAAATTCTAAGTAGAGGCATTTCTCGTGTGAGGAGGTACAGGGTAAACCTGCCTCACTGGCTTCTGAACCCCTCCTACACTTAAATTTTTAGCCTCCTTATTATAGTTAACATAGAAACCCAACAAGTTAAAGTCCTAAGAGCCAACCAGAAGAAAGGCAAAGGGCTGATCGAGCGCTGATGCCAGCTCCATATGACTCGCGCCCGTGAGTGGTCTAATCGTCGGAAAGCCTGGTCGGCAGAATTGGGGGTTTCCGAAAATTAGGCGTACTTTAGGGTTCCTTTAAAGGGTTACTATAAAGGTTCCTTCAAGGGCCCTATAAGGGCTCGGACTTTCCGAAAATGAGGGGTACCTTGTTTTGGTGTCCTTATAATAAGGGTCCTACTATTTTGGGTACTTTATGAGGGCCTCCTATTTCCGGAAACACCCAATTTGGGGATGTGAAATGCAGAGACAGGAGGTCAGAATCGAAACAAATGGAGTTCCCTCCTGAAAGCCTGACAATTCACCCTTGTTGCATCCAGCCTGCAGAAGCCTCTGCTGGGAACTCGCCCTAAATTCCGAACCCGGTTCTTAGGGGACCCGAACACCCTATCCGAAACCCTCAGGCAAAGGGTCCTACTACCAAGAGGTAGGTGCAGGTGCAGCCCTCCAAAAAGTAGATTCTTGATCCAGTGGGCATCATTGGAACCCTAAACCCTAAACCCTCGCAGCAAAGCTCTAAACCATCCCGTAGGAGACACCACCTACCTCTGCCGAGATCTACAGCAGGCTAAATACTTAGACGCAAGTTGTCGTAAGCATCGATAACATACTGCCAGAAACCCTGAAAGGTACCCTGATTATTTTAGAGGTTTAAGATCTTTAACTGTAATCTGTAGGGTTCAGGCATATTTATTTCCAAAGCTCTCAACCCAAACGTCTCCACAACACAACCCAAGCCCAAACTCGGTTGAACCCTTCTGCCACGGGCTTCGACGCCCAGCCCTTTCTGAATCCTTGAACCCATGAGCCACGCTGGGATGAACGGCCCAAGAAGGCCACAATACCTTAGAAGCTGCCCCCACCCTGTAATAGCGACTGTAAGGATTATAGTAGGGCCCTATTATATTCCTATTATACCACTATTACAGGGTGAGGGCACCTTCTAAACAATACCGAACCATTTCAGTCGAAAGGACTCGGGCTCCAAAACACCACTCTTGGAGGAGCTGTAAGCTCTCAAGCCCAAACCCTGCTCAGGCTTCTTCTGAAACCGAACCTTCGCCTTTATAGCACCCAGCACAACCTGCCTTAAGCCCGCACCTTAAACCCAAGACAAAAAAGCAATGCGCTGTATACAAGGCAAAACCCTACACCCAAAGTACCAGATCCAAACACTGAAACCCTTGTGAGGCCTCATAACTCAAAGCCGTTTAAACCCAAATCCCGAAACCTCTTTGGCTGAAGGCTCCACCCGAAACTCTAAACCCAAAAGCCCTAAACCCTCTCCACCCTAACCTAAACCCTCTCAACCCTAAACCCTTTGGAGGCCCCCGGAGGTCTCCTAAACTTGCGGCTGGGCGCTTCCTGTCGTAGCAAGGCCACGGACACCCAGCCTCGAAAAGGCAACGGGGTTAATGCGGGGCGTTTTTAGAAAGAACAAGGATTGGGGTGAACTGTATTTACTTAACACACACACATATATATATATGTATATGTATATGCATATATGTATGTGTATATATATATACACATACTTGTTTTGTTGAGAACTAATTAAGAAACCCAAAGGGATAATGGCAACTAGTCGGGCCCCCTGCATTATGCAGTTGCCTTGTCAAGAGTCTTTCAGAGCTTGTTAAGGATTTTACGTGTCACTTGAGGATTCGATGGGCCGTGGTCTGCCAGCAAGCTTTACAGTTGGCCTACATGCGTTAATGAGTGGACTACCTTTTCTGATTTTCTGGTCTAGAGTCTAGAACCCAACCAAGCACAAACTGTGGGGGGCCTGAGGAGTATTTCTCGTGGTTCCAACAGGTATTTATGTCATAGAACTCTCTGGTACCTATGGGTCTCCTTTATTAGGGTTCCTGTTTGTTCCTACTATTTTGGGGTTATAGGCCCTAGGGTTTCTTAATCAGGTTCCGACATGAAACTCATAGCCTTTAGTGATGCGTCTAAGGCTAAGCCACTTCGGCTTGCAATCTCGAAGCTTTCGGAGGCCATTTTCGGAGGCCGGGCTTTGGGTGCAGAAGGGGCGAAGGGTGTGTTTGAGGCTTTAATCCTCTACCTTAGCCTTAGCCCCAAATAACCTACCTTTTCAAGGACTTTTATAAGGAACTCATATTAGGGAACCCCAAGAAGGTAGGTTATTTGGGGTCCAGGTAGGGCGAGCTGTTCGATCCCACAGAAGTTACGCCGTTAGGCTGGCAATTATGATAAGGTTTGACCGACCTACGAAGGTTTCAGTCTATCGTCTCAGCCACTCGTAAGCCCTAAACCGACCAAGTCGTGCTGGCCGAGATACTGTACCTGAGCGGCAGTGTCGAAGTGAGATGAAGCCACCTGACACTCCCGGACAGGAAGAGAAGCAAAACTTACCACGGTGACGCTGTGCGACAGAAGTGTCCTGTATTCGGTCACTTCAGCAATGGTCATTTACCTGCAGTCCTGAGTTTCCTCCCAACCCTGCTCTCCCTCGCCCCCCAAGTGATTGAAGCAGAAACAAGCATAATACCAATATCCCTGTTTTTCTTCCTCTGAAAGGTTGGGACATGTTGGGACTAATCTGCAAGGGTCCAGCTCCTGGGAGGGATGCCCTAAGCACAAAGGCCACATCATGCACGCGGCCCCTAATCGCAAACTACGAAGCAAGAGGACTCTCAAGACGTGCAGAAACGGATGATGCCCAAACCTTTAACTCCGAGTTGAGTCTGCGACGATGCAAGAGCCCATCGTGATGTCGAAGAAAAGCTTCGCCCTGCAAAGCGAACAAATCTGACGTTTAGGGCAAAGTTTAGGGTTTAGGGTCCCCGAACCCTGCCTTCATGCCCGAAAGAAAGCCTACCGCTCTTGGGTGAACTTTACAAGGAAATTTTGGGTGTTGCACGGTAAACCTAAACCCTTTGAAGCTTTAAGCTCCACTAAAACGTCGCTGGAGCGTCCACGCACGCAGGTTTGTCTGCGACTTCCCGGATTCGACGGGCTACAGTTACAGGATGTTTGGAGTGTCAAGGTCGCGTCTACGTGCGATGCGGCTCTCTTCTGCTGAATCGAGAGGCCACGCGTCCACCATAAGGGGTCGGGTAGACAGAAACTAGAACAGAACTGGATGAGGAACCCAAAGGAATAAAATAGTATTGGTACTGTCTGGCATTGCGTCTGCTTCTGTAGCCAGCAATACCATGCAACAGGCATAAGACGCATGCGCTTCAGCCGTTTCTCAAAACGTAGAAGAACAAAACTACCCGTATCACCAAGCGGACACAACCCGAGACATCTGAACCCTACGAACACTCTCCAGAAATAGAAACCCCCCCAAGACCCTCTTCCTCAAGCTTCGGCCCTACCGAAACAGAAACCTATCAAACAGCCAATTAGCTGCCTAGTTGGAACCCTGTGAGCCCGCAATGCTCAGCCGGTAACCTCTACTTGGAGGTTCATGGATAGTTCTGAGTAGGGTTAGAAGTAGGGCAACTATACTTATAACCCATATTAGGGGACTTATAACCTCACTTGCAATTACCTGTGAACCTCCAAGTACTTTCCACACCCACCGTAAACCCTAAATCCTCACCTGGATCGACCTGAATTTCGGAGATCCTGCTGCCGAGGTGCAGGGAAGTTAGCCCATCGGCGACAAGCACTTCAATGAAGGGTATCTCCTGAACAGGTGCATACTGCTTACCTATAGGTGTGTAGAAAGCTTGAAGATTTAGAGCTTTGGGGTCATTGCAGGACAGGGCCGTGAGTTCAGAAAGGCTTTCTTGTGCTTGCCATGCCGCAGGATTCGTGGTTCAGCCCTCCACCCAAGCTCTCACTCGATGGGGAGGGGGCTGTTCTCCCAAAGGGTCTTCGACGGCAAGGAGCTTTCAGTCATCATGTTGTTTTGTGCGCTGTATCTTCTGCAAATACGCGGTGTCGGAATGCCCCGAATCAACCACGATCTGCAAACTCCCGACCCCAAACGGAGACATGACGATCATAGGTCACTGCCTCTGGCAGCATCGGGGTGGAGTTTGGTTCAGTGACGTGGCATGTCGGGATCGGAAACAATCTGTTATCGTTGCCGGCATTACTAGAATCTTTGTTCTTTTGTATGCTACGAGCACACCACCGTTGCAAATCAACAGCAGCTACTACTGTTGCTCGCATGTGTTTAGTCAATAATGCAACTCGTTGCGGCACTGTGACTACAGCCGACTTCAACTCCTTGTCAGCTCAAGAAGCCGGGCAACAGGAAGCCTTGATAGCAGATTATGGGTTAGGGTTTAGGGTTTAGGAGTTTAGGGGTTTAGGATTTAAGGTTCAGGGTTTAGGGGTTTAGGGTTTTTAAGCGGCATCATTGAAAATGGTCATGGTCACACAAATCTTATCACGAACTAATACATCTAGCAACGGCAAATTCTAAAAAGCAGTATGAAGCCAGTCCGAACGATAGTGAAACAGAAAGCAATTAAACACCTTTATTCATGACACGTCTGCGCATCTTTGCAGCTAGAACAGGGCTTTCTGGCGTATTGTGGTGTAAGTATGCCATGGAAGCCGAGGGAAGGACAGTGCAAACTATTCAGGCCTTCTTATCTACCTACCACTTCATCCGAGCCTACTAGAAACCTACTTGCCCTTGTCAAACATACTTGGAGGTTCATGGGCAGTTAAAGCGTGGTTCCAAGTAGTACTTATAACCTATATAAGGGGACTTATAACACACTTTTCCTACCCCACGAACCTCCAAGTACTGAAGCCTCCACCCCACAAACTGATAGTTAAGGTCTCGGGAGACTGATCAAAACTGTAAGATGAAAACGGTGAAAGTCTCTGTGAAGGCCTCATGGAACCGCAGGGCCCCAAACCCTAAACCCTCTGAAGGAAACCCGCACAGAAAACCTGCAGCACCCCTACCTTCGAGGTGTCTGGCCAGGCACAGCGCCATAACGCCTTGGAGATGAAGTTTTTGGGTTAAGATTTTACTTCCCTGAACCTCTAAATAGCCCAAACTTGGTATTGTTTATAGACTGCAAACCCCACAGTAGGTACGATTGGTATACTTGGAGTTCTAGGGCTTCTCGGCCGTCGTATCTAGAATCTGAGGATGCGTCTGCTGTTGTCTTATTTTGGTCCCCGAGGAGAAGGAATGCCATGGCTCATTGTTCTAGAACTTGGCGTATGGAGGTTTGGGGTTCAAGGCTGTTGGAATATGTATCGTAAATACCTTCTTTTATATTAAGTAAATGAAAAACAAGTATCAATAAACATATATGTATGTATGTATACATATATATATATATGTATATATGTATATGTATATATATATATATATATATATATATATATTGTGCAGCATGCTAGAAATATGTTGGGTGTTTGTGGAATCCTGGAGAAGTTCAGGTTGTGTTCTCGCTTCAGGGCCTTCCATGCGGAAACCCTGAACCTTCAAGCTGAACTTCCCGAAATCCTGAATCCTGCATTCCAAACCGCAGTCGGAAATCCTAAATCCCCCAAACCCCATCCTAGACTCCCGTTTAGCCCTCTAGACCTAAGAGTAACCTAGGAATAAAAAGGGTGCCTTTTTTGGGGTAAAGGGGGTTATAAGGGAACCTAACCCATAAAAAAGGAAATGAGGGCCTACTCTGGGTCCTGGCCCTTTAAAGAACCCTCACAGAAGGCCGTTACAGGATCCCGAAAAGCCGTAAATCACAAACTCGAAAAGCTATTGAAGGTCCCAGGGCCCAACCCATAGACTCCAATATCCCTTAATTAAGGAATAAACCTTAAATTATAGTAGGGATCCTACTATAATTTAAGGTATATTCCTTGATTAAGGGATATTGGAGTCTCTGGGAACATGAGGATCTTCAGGCTTTGCGGGTCTATACCGTCTCTTTGGGCTCTTCCCCGTCCGGTCCACGCTCAAGGGGCCCTAAACCCCATGAGACCTTGTTCAAAAAACTCCGACGCCGATGGGTGAAACGGCTTAGAGCTGAAGGCACCGGAAGAGAGATAACTATACTGAGAACAGGGCTCTGCGGTTGCAAGATACGAAATAAGTTCCAGACGGAAGCCTAGGGAGTAGCCTTATAGTAAGAATTATGTCTCAGTCTTCTTGATACTAACAGTACGAACAGCAAGAATGACAATAATGGCAATAGTTGTAGCAACAGTCATACCAGTAACAACAGTCACGATGGCACTTAATCTCTTCTTCTTGCCTATTCAGTGATCTATATTGAACTAAGACCACTGGCAAAAACAAATTGCTGTTTCTCACGGATTAGAAGAACCAGAGATTACAAACTATTCCGAAGTATCCCCTAAGTGATGGGGTTATAAGAACCAGAGATTACAACTATTCCTAAGTACCCCTAAGTGATGGGCTCCAGGCCTGCACGAAAGGCTCCCTCCAGCGGCTGTGCTTGGCCAACGACCTCGCCGGTGTGCTTAAGAAAGGTCAGATTATAGGGACCCTCACGGGGGGGTAGGGGAGAGGGGGGGAGCGGACTATACTTCCCTTTTTAAGGACTATACTGCCCTTTTTAAGGACTATACTTCCATTTTTAAGGACTATACTTCCCTTTTTTAAGCCTTAGTTTGAGTCCTTATTATAGGTATGAAGGCCCCTCAAGGTCAGAGGGGGCCAGAGACTCCTAAGGGTTCCTTTAGGAGATCTATAGGGGATCTATAGGGTTAATAGGGTTTGGGCTTAGAGGGTTCTAATATCCCGTAATTAAGGAATATCCCTTGAATCATATTCGGGATCCTCATATGATTTAGGGATCTTCTTGATTGAATGAGATTGGACTCTCCGGGTCAGAGGGTTTACGTGGCCCTAGGAAACCTACCTTTTCAGGGCCTCCTTATTTTGTTTTGCTTCTACAAGTCCTTGAAGAGATAGGCCAATAGGGGTTAAGGCAGGCTTAGAAAGGTTCTACAGTACACCTAATATCCCGCGTAGACATAGCTAAGTTCAGGTTTCAGTCTTCGGCGCTTCCGAGGCTGACGTTTCAGACTTGAACCTTTTGTATATCTCCTGCATTGCTAGATCGGGCACTTAGGGTTTCCGATGCCTTCATCATGGACCCTCAACCCATCCTGCATCTGACCAGCTTCGGAAACTGCCGAAGGCGGCAACGAGGCCGGAATCTGGGAGTTTCCGAAAATAGGGGCCCTGATATCGTAGCCCAAATAATACCCTGTATTATAAGGACCCCAAAGTACCCCTAGTTCTCGGAAATCCGAACGGGAGATGATCAGATCTTCGACGCCAAACAATATATCCAAGGGTAAAAGGAGGGACCCTTAATAACGACCCCGGGGTATATACCCTTAATATAGCTATTATATACCCATTAAGGGTCCCTCCTTTTCCCCTTTGACTATAAAACCCCTGGAGATGGTGAGATCTTCCACACCCTGGCCCGATGATTCGCCCGGATCTGAGGGGAAAAAGGTGCCCGGCAACCTGTGCCTGAACCCTAGAGCCTGACCCCCTTTTTGCCACTGGACTCAAGTCTAGCCAGTCTACGGCCCACAATCATCCTGCCCGAGGTCGACATGCAGCACCGATACCCTGACCCCCAAACCTGAAATCCTAGACCTTAAACCTTTCATACTATGCGAAACATAAGGACCGAAACCGACAACAGTACCTACCCTATGCCCTGAAACCAAACTATATAGTCTAGAGCCCAACCTGCAAACCTCAACCCGAAAGCCACGTGACCTTGGAAGCATGCCCCACACTGCCAGCAGCGCCACGGCGTAGCAAACCAGCACAAAGACGATCAGCCTCGGCAGCTTCAGCTGATTTCACTGTATCTTACTATACGTTGCTCTACTATGCTATAGTATATTATACACCATGAACAGTAATATTCGAGTATCACATGTTTTCACACGCTTTTTTACGGGGCGCAGGCCTACACTAGCCGATCTCTGTGGCTTGCAGCGTGAGAGGTTCATGGGCAGTTATAAGAAGGGTTATAAGTAGGATAACTGTACTTATAACTTATAACCCATATTAGGGGACTTATCACCCGACTTATGACTACCCATGAACCTCCAAGAACAGTGTACGCCGACCACAGCCTAAATCCCACCTTTTGCGAGGCGGCGGCTGGATTACAATCTAAAGACTTTGTGCACCGCATCTCCTAGTCCGACAGGCTTGGAGTAAGACTCTACTTGGCGGCTGCGGTTGGGTGTTCAAAGTGATCCCAACAAGCACTGGCCCGAATAACCCCCCTGCTCCCTCCACCGCCTACATCCCCAAATGAGCCCGCAACCTGCATGAGTCAACGCCACATCAAGGCCAAAACAAACCACCGAACACCTAAGAGCCTACTCCTCACATCCCCAAGTTCCAAACAATCCAAAACCAATGCTTTGAAACCCGAAACCCTAAACCCTAAACCCTACCCCGTAAGTCCGTGAAAGCCCTCAACCATGAGACCTTGAACCCTGTAAGCCCTGAACGATCCATCCTGAAACCCCAAACCTATAATACCCCTTTAAAGGCGCCCTACTCAAATACTTCGCCCCATAGATACCCTGAAAGGGGAACTCAAAGGAGCCCCTATCCGCCGACCCCTGCTGGGGCGGCGCCCAGAAGCTCTTGGATTCTTGCAGCATCTCGCCCACTCGCTTTTACTCGGCAATCTAGGCTGTCTTTTTATGACCAGCACCGTACAAGCTTGCTACAAAAACTTCCCGGCATGTCTGCCTGCTTGCAGCATCTCGCCCACTCGCTCTTACTCGGCAAACTAGGCTGTCTTTTTATGACCAGCACCGTACAAGCTTGCTACAAAAACTTCCCGGCATGTCTGCCTGCTTGCAGCATCTCGCCCACTCGCTGTCTTACTCGGCAAACTAGGCTGTCTTTTTATGAGGCTGTCTTTTTATGATTATCACCGTACAAGCTTGCTACAAAAACTTCCCGGCATGTCTGCCTGACCCCTTCTCGGCACTACTTGGCCCCACTCGGCCCTACTCGGTACTCCTCGGCACTACTCGGCTCCACAAACTGTAGTTTGGTGGTATTTCAGTGGTGGTAGAGTAATTGAAAGGGTCCCAATGTCTGCCTGACCCCTTCCCAACACCACTCGGCCCCACTCGGCCCTACTCGGCACTTCTCGGCACTATTCGGCTCCACAAACTGTGCCCCACTCGGCCCTACTCGGCACTCCTCGGCACTACTCGGCTCCACAAACTGTAGATTTTGGTGGTTTTTCTCTATTAGTAGAGTAATTTAAAGGCACCCCAATGTCTGCCCGACCCCTTCCCGGCACCACTCGTTTCCACTCGGCCCTACTCGGCACTCCTGGGCACTATTCGGCTCCACAAACTGTCTATTTTGGTGCTATTTTTGTATTAGTAAAGTAATTTAAAGGGCGCCCCAATGTCTGCCCGACTCCTTCCCGGCACCACTCGGCCCCATTCGCCCTACTCGGCACTCCCCGGCACTACTCGGCTCCACAAACTGTAGATTTTGGTGGTATTTCTGTATTAGTAAAGTAATTTAAAGGCACCCCAATGTCTGCCCGACCCCTTCCCGGCACCACTCGGCCCCACTCGGCCCTACTCGGCACTTCTCGGCACTACTGGGCTCCACAAACTATAGATTTTGGTGGTATTTCTGTATTAGTAGAGTAATTTAAAGGCACCCCAATGTCTGCCTGACCCCTTCCCGGCACCACTCGGCCCCACTCGGCCGTACTCGGCACTCCTCGGCACTACTCGGCTCCACAAACTGTAGATTTTGGTGGTATTTCTGTATTAGTAGAGTAATTTAAAGGCACCCCAATGTCTGCCCGACCCCTTCTCGGCACCACTCGGCCCCACTCGCACTCCTCGGCACTACTCGGCTCCACAAACTGTAGATTTTGGTGGTCTTTCTGTATTAGTAGTTTATTTTATTGAAAGGCACTGCAATGTATGCCCGACCCCTTCCCGGCACCACTCGGCCCCACTCGGCCCTACTCGGCACTCCTCGGCACTACTCGGCTCCACAAACTATAGATTTTGGTGGTATTTCTGTATTAGTAGAGCAATTTAAAGGCACCCCAATGTCTGCCTGACCCCTTCCCGGCACCACTCGGCCGTACTCGGCACTCCTCGGCACTACTCGGCTCCACAAACTGTAGATTTTGGTGGTATTTCTGTATTCTGTATTAGTAGAGTAATTTAAAGGCACCCCAATGTCTGCCCGACCCCTTCTCGGCACCACTCGGCCCCACTCGGCCCTACTCGGCTACTCGGCTCTACAAACTGTAGATTTTTGGTGGTCTTTCTGTATTAAAGTAATTTAAAGGCACCCCAATGTTTGCCCGACCCGTTCCCGGCACCACTCGGGCCCACTCGGCACTCCCCGGCACTACTCTGCTCCACAAACTGTAGATGTTGGTGCGATTTTTGTATTACGAGAGTAATTTAAAGGCACCCCAATGTCTGCCCGACCCCTTCCCGGCACCACTCGGCCCCACTCGGCCCTACTCGGCACTCCTCGGCACTACTCGGCTCCACAAACTGTAGATTTTGGTGGTATTTCTGTATTATAGTAGAGTACTTTAAAGGCACCCCAATGTCTGCCCGACCCCTTCCCGGCACCACTCGGCCCTTTCGGCCCTACTCGGCACTCCTCGGCACTACTCGGCTCCACAAACTGTAGATTTTGGTGGTATTTCTGTATTAGTAGAGTAATTTAAAGGCACCCCAATGTCTGCTCGACCCCTTCTCGGCACCACTCGGCCCCACTCGGCCCTACTCGGCACTCCTCGGCTCCACAAACTGTAGATTTTGGTGGTCTTTCTGTATTAGTAGAGTAATTTAAAGGCACCCCAATGTCTGCCCGACCCCTTCCCGGCACCACTCGTTTCCACTCGGCCCTACTCGGCACTCCTCGGCTCCACAAACTGTAGATGTTGGTGCGATTTTTGTATTAGTAGAGTAATTTAAAGGCACCCCAATGTCTGCCCGACCCCTTCCCGGCACCACTCGGCCCCACTCGGCCCTACTCGGCACTCCTCGGCTCCACAAACTGTAGATTTTGGTGGTATTTCTGTATTAGTAAAGTAATTTAAAGGCACCCCAATGTCTGCGCGACCCCTTCCCGGCACCACTCGTTTCCACTCGGCCCTACTCGGCACTCCTCGGCTCCACAAACTGTAGATTTTGGTGGTATTTCGGTATTAGTAGAGTAATTTAAAGGCACCCCAATGTCTGCCCGACCCCTTCTCGGCACCACTCGGCCCCACTCGGCTCTACTCGGCACTCCTCGGCACTACTCGGCTCCACAAACTGTAGATTTTGGTGGTATTTCTGTACTAGTAGAGTAATTTAAAGGCACCCCAATGTCTGCGCGACCCGGCACCACTCGCCACTCGGCCCTACTCGGCACTCCTGGGCACTATTCGGCTCCACAAACTGTAGATTTTGGTTAGTAAAGTAATTTAAAGGCACCCCAATGTCTGCGCGACCCCTTCCCGGCACCACTCGGCCCCACTCGGCCCTACTCGGCACTCCTGGGCACTACTCGGCCCCACAAACTGTCTATTTTGGTGCTATTCTTGTATTAGTAGAGTAATTTAAAGGGCACCCCAATGTCTGCCCGACCCTCGGCCCCACTCGGCCCTACTCGGCACTCCCCGGCACTACTCGGCTCCACAAACTATAGATTTTGGTGGTCTTTCTGTATTAGTAAAGTAATTTAAAGGCGCCCCAATGTCTGCCCGACCCCTTCCCGGCACCACTCGGCCCCACTCGGCCCTACTCGGCACTTCTCGGCACTACTGGGCTCCACAAACTAGATTTTGGTGGTATTTCTGTATTAGTAGAGTAATTTAAAGGCACCCCAATGTCTGCCTGACCCCTTCCCGGCACCACTCGGCCCCACTCGGCCCTACTCGGCACTCCTCGGCACTACTCGGTATTAGTAGTTTATTTTATTTAAAGGCACTGCAATGTATGCCCCACCCCTTCCCGGCACCACTCGGCCCCACTCGGCCCTACTCGGCACTCCTCGGCACTACTCGGCTCCACAAACTATAGATTTTGGTGGTATGTCTGTATTAGTAAAGTAATTTAAAGGCACCCCAATGTCTGCCTGACCCCTTCCCGGCACCACTCGGCCCCACTCCTACTCGGCACTCCTCGGCACTACTCGGCTCCACAAACTGTAGATTTTGGTGGTATTTCTGTATTCTGTATTAGTAGAGTAATTTAAAGGCACCCCAATGTCTGCCCGACCCCTTCTCGGCACCACTCGGCCCCACTCGGCCCTACTCGGCACTATTCGGCTCCACAAACTGTAGATTTTGGTGGTCTTTCTGTATTAGAGTAATTTAAAGGCACCCCAATGTCTGCCCGACCCCTTCCCGGCACCACTCGGCCCCACTCGGCCCTACTTGGCACTCCTGGGCACTACTCGGCTCCACAAACTGTAGATGTTGGTGCGATTTTTGTATTACTAGAGTAATTTAAAGGCACCCCAATGTCTGCCCGACCCCTTCCCGGCACCACTCGGCCCCACTCGGCCCTACTCGGCACTCCTCGGCACTACTCGGCTCCACAAACTGTAGATTTTGGTGGTATTTCTGTATTAGTAGAGTACTTTAAAGGCACCCCAATGTCTGCCCGACCCCCTTCCCGGCACCACTCGGCCCTTTCGGCCCTACTCGGCACTCCTCGGCTCCACAAACTGTAGATTTTGGTGGTATTTCTGTATTAGTAGAGTTATTTAAAGGCGCCCGACCCCTTCCCGGCACCACTCGGCCCCACTCGGCCCTACTCGGCACTTCGGCACTACTCGGCTCCACAAACTGTAGATTTTGGTGGTATTTCTGTATTAGTAGAGTAATTTAAAGGCACCCCAATGTCTGCGCGACCCCTTCCCGGCACCACTCGTTTCCACTCGGCCCTACTCGGCACTCCTCGGCTCCACAAACTGTAGATTTTGGTGGTATTTCTGTATTAGTAGAGTAATTTAAAGGCACCCCAATGTCTGCCCGACCCCTTCTCGGCACCACTCGGCCCCACTCGGCCCTACTCGGCACTACTCGGCTCCACAAACTGTAGATTTTGGTGGTATTTCTGTACTAGTAGAGAAATTTAAAGGCACCCCAATGTCTGCGCGACCTCTTCCCGGCACCACTCGTTTCGGCCCTACTCGGCACTCCTGGGCACTATTCGGCTCCACAAACTGTAGATTTTGGTGGTCTTTCTGTATTAGAGTGATTTAAAGGCACCCCAATGTCTGCCCGACCCCTTCCCGGCACGACTCGGCCCCACTTTAAAGGCACCCCAATGTCTGCCCGACCCCTTCTCGGCACCACTCGGCCCCACTCGGCCCTGCTCGGCACTCCTCGGCACTACTCGGCTCCACAAACTGTAGATTTTGGTGGTCTTTCTGTATTAGTAGAGTAATTTAAAGGCACCCCAATGTCTGCCCGACCCCTTCCCGGCACCACTCGTTTCCACTCGGCCCTACTCGGCACTCCCCGGCACTACTCGGCTCCACAAACTGTTTTTTTGTATTGGTAGAGCAATTTAAAGGCACCCCAATGTCTGCCCGACCCCTTCTCGGCACCACTCGGCCCCACTCGGCCCTACTCGGCACTCCTCGGCATTACTCGGCTCCACAAACTGTAGATTTTGGTGGTATTTCTGTATTGGTAGAGTACTTTAAAGGCACCCCAATGTCTGCCCGACCCCTTCCCGGCACCACTCGGCCTTACTCGGCCCTACTCGGCACTCCTCAGAGTAATTTAAAGGCGCAACCGGCGCCGGCGGCGCGACGTGGGCGCGAAGTCATAACTCCCAAGTTTTTGAGTGGGTTGCAGAAGCCGCCAAAGGGCGCGCATCATGAGCATCAGCGGGGTCCGGCGGACGGGGGGTGCGGGCTACATGCAGGGCCGACGGGGGCTGAGAGCCTACGATCACCCACAAGTTGCGCACTTCGGGCCTATACGTTGCACTTCTATATACCGCGGGTTTCTGACAACAGCTCGCGCTGCCCGCACCTGGGCGCAGCCCCTAAATAAAACTCACCCTAAACCCCAGACCCTAAACCCCTAAACCCTTTTTTGCATCCAGGCCTACCCTAAACCCCTAAACCCCAAACCCCTAAACAAGGGCCCGCGCTCCGGAGAAGCGCCGTGGAGGAAGGCCGCGGCCCGAGTCTCGGTCTTGCTTCTATCATATGGGTGGTTGTCAAAGTTATGGTCCCTTCTTGGGTCCTTATTATAGTACGGGACCTACTATTTAGGGTACCTATCTTGCTTCTTAGGGTTTTTGGGTTTTACCTTAAGGACCCTAGACTATGGGAATTATTTTTCCTTATTATGGGTAATGCAGGATTTATATCTTCAAAAGTATCACTAACATTAATATTGAAAGCAATAGTCTACGAATGCTGATACTAGTACTGATACTGATACCAATACCTGGGAGTCTCGGGTTGCTTCTATCATATGGGAGTTTCCGAAACTTAGGGGTACCGTACCTACCTAGGTTCCTTTACAGGGCTACCATAAGGCAGGGTACTACAAGGGTTCCTTTAAAGGGCTCTATATGGGTTCAGGAGTTTCCGAAAATTAGGGGGACTTTAGGGATTTTTACCCTCCTACTTGGCAAGGACGAGGCCCGCATTGCAGGGTACTTGGTTGAACATAACTGTAGGGTTCTTTTAAAGGGTTCCTTCAAACGGCCCTATAAGGGTTCAGAGTTTCCGAAAATTCGGGGTACCTTCTTTTGGAGTCCTTATAATAAGTATATTACTATTTAGGGTACTATACTAGGGTCTTCTATGCTCGGAAACCCCCATATGGGCAGCGTGGTGATTGGAATAGGGCTCCGTTCAAGGGTGCATGCCTCGCTTCATCTCTTCCACCCAACCGGAAACCCAAGGAGGACTAGCGGAAACAGTGTGTGACGGTTTGTGTTTAGGGCCAAGATGGGCCAAGTCTCCATGGTGTCAGGTCGAGCGCCATGGGCTGTGAGGTCCGAGCCAGACAGTCAGAGTGGCGTCGTCCGGTGGCCACGAAACCAATCTGAGACAGAGCAGTGCCTTTGCTGAAGGTGCACAAAGCTGCGACTTCAGGTGTTGAGAAGTACCAGTTGCTGGTCGCGGAGGATCTCGTCCAGTTCAGTGTCTGGCGGTCGGATAGGCTTCATGACTGCCCTTCCGCAAACAGCGGCTTTGCGTGGTCAAGTCCGCCCCCAAAAAGGAGCATACTCCGCATCGGCAGTCCTTGCAAAGTGTTCCCAGCCTGGTCCATTAGCAAGCCGGTCTTGGACCACCACTGTGGGGATCTTTAGGGGAATGCAAAGGTAGGACTATGTTTAAGCATAAAGGTCCCGTAGAGCATCACCGTTTTAGGGGGAGTAGAGATAGGATAAAAGGGGCCTTAATACTTAGAAGTCGTTATGTTCGATACTTTATGGGATTAGGTATTTGGGGGTTTTCGCTACGTACTCAATATTCAGACTTCGGGGGGCTGTACCCCAGATTTACGATATTTCTCTGCAGGTGTTCTTTTTTGCTTGCCGGTTTTAGTCTCAGTAGATGAGTTCTATGGGCTGTTTGAGGTTTGTAGGGATCCACAGGGTTTGGGGCTTTAGTGTTGTAAGCTTTGGGACTTTAGGGCTTTGGGGTTTAAGGATTTTAGGGTTGAAGGTGCCGCTGGTCGTGCAAGTCGCAGCAGAAGTTGAAAGACGATCCTGTTGTCGGAAATCAAGAAGAGGGCATACGCATGAGGTTGAAGGTCTATCGAGTTTAAAGACCTTGGCTTTAAGGGTGCAGGAGATGCTTTTTGGGTCATTAGACTGAAGGGGCTTTTGCAGGTAAACTATGCGATGGTTATAATGCGGAGCCACAGCCATGTTTAGTAATTTATGACTGAAAGATTCAGGCATCTATATTAGCCCTTCAGCCATCAACCCCAGACTTGAGGCCATGTCCGAGACACAGGCCTTGACAACACTTCAACCCTGAATCCGAAGCCGCAAGCCCCAAGCCCCAAACTCGAGGATCCAAGCTTCTGAACCCATTTCAATTCTTGAGCCAGTCATCGTCAAAATTGCGGGTCTTAGACTGCTCTGCCAGAGGCACCATGCTCAGCACGGCTGCGATCAGCAATGCGAAGAAGACGAGTGAGCGAGGGCTAACCAGCCTGAGCTAAAGCCGTCATCCGTAGGGGTTCGGATATACGGACGCCAGGATTCGTTTAAATCTGATTTGCAAAACAACATATTTAGTTCATGTGCAGAGTACTTCTCAACTAAAACACAGCATCCACCGCGAACACACTACACGCGCCATAGCCGGCTCTGTCGGGGGCGGGGCTTGAGCATGAACTCTGAGAGTCTAACGCAAGCTCATACGCTTCACCAGCACGGAAACACAACTGTTGAAATCCCAAACCACGAACCCTTAACCTTAAAACCTCCGGACCCTAAATCTTAAAGCCCACATATCCTGCTATTTGGGCCGTAACGTTTATGAACAGGCTGCAAGGTCTATACTACACCTGCGGTGTTGAGGATGAGGATTCAACCTTCTGTCATACAAGTCCTGGCCTGCCGAAGCCTTCTCCATTCGCGGGTTTCAAAGCGTTTTGAGGTTGCCGGTTTGGACACCTCGTTTCATGTCAAGATATGCCGTGGAACAAGTATTTGGAACATGTAGGAGTTTGGTGGAGCTGGAACCATTGATTGAGTTCATAGTATTCAATGCCAGCTAGATGCACGCCCTGATCTGGGGCCTTTGCTTTACAAAGCCTTCGCTTGCACAGCCTTTCGTTGCCCTTCAAGCCAGCTGGTCCCCCCATTCCAACTGGCTTGCGCATTTAAGGTACTTCGGAGACCCCGCATGCGCCCGAAGCAGGGACAGACAGGTGGTGCACTTTTCTAGGATTCCCAGAGAACCACCGTTGCCCGGGTTTCTGTGTTGAAGCCAAGGCACTCTTCTTTTGACAAATGGAGAACTGAGGCATAGTCCACTCCTGAAGGCCGCACACACTCCCAAATCCTGAACACTTAAGGAAAACATTTCTTTGGACCTTTACCGTTACTTATTTTGGACAAAAACCACGGGCGAAGCTAAAGGCTGTTGCCGGTGTTGCTTATTGTCGGAAAGGGGCTTCATTTGGGGGATGAGTTTTGCTCAGTCGTGAACCTGTGTTTATCAGCAGCTGCACTTGTGGTTTATGGCGTCGGGTCAACCGAGCACTGACCCCTCAAAACGCGAAACGCTGAGGGGTGGAGTCGGACAAGCCAGCCGGCAAGAAGACCTTGAATCCTGGAACCTAAAACTAGCATAGGGGTTTAATCATGAAACCTAAGGAATAAAAAAGGTTTCTTTCAGGATTCTATACTGCAGCTGCCCATGCCCGTTTGCTTGCAATGTGAGACAACCCAAGGGCGAAGAGGCCAGCGTGAGTAGACTCCAGTCCAACCTTCATAGATTTGAACCACGAGTCCAAGTCCCCGACACAAAATACCTAAACCCTAAACCTTAAGCTCCTAATCAGAGACACAGTCTTTCAAACAGAACCCCCGTAGCCTGTTGAATGTCAGTGTGAAGCTGTCATAACAAGAGGTTGTTTAGGGCTTTAGGGTTTTAGGGCCAAGGTTTTTCGGCAGTCACGCTTGGACAAGCCAAGCCAGGTTCTTAGCGCCGAGTCGGTTGACATGAAACCTAGGTGCGAATTCGGATGTGGCAATCACGAGATAAAACTCTAACAAGAACAACACTCTCGTACCGTCCGTTGCTAAGGAGCCTGAAAGCAAGTCTCGGACACAGATATCGGATGGGACATCCCCGATACTGGTCAAGCTCCATACCGTCAGGCTCCATGTTTTCTGTAAAAACTACGTGTGATGGGCTGATTTGAGGGGACGTTTTTCGCGGGACTCCAACGGAAGGAATACAAACCTGGTACGAGCAGTGCGAGCACAACATGTAAAATGTAGAGACACCTCCACTGGACTATTCGCATACACCGGCACAAACCCTGCGCCAAAATATTGACTGGGTCTCTTCCAATGCACGGCTGCCTTGCACGTGCATCCTGGCTCTGCATGGCCCCTCGGTGCCAGATGCGAATGAAAAGAACAGATCTCTCAGGTTCGATGCCAACCTTCGAGCGAGTGCACAAAGAGACGTGCCTCGCTTTTCTGGAGGCTGTGCCGTCTGGTTTGTGTTTGGCTTGCAGAGCCTCAATTTCGCCTGACTTTAGTCGAAAGCAATGTTGATATTGCATATGGCAGAGCAATTCTCGAGGAGAGAGGAAGTATGGTCCATGACTAATCGCTGTGCCGAGCCAAGCCGTCTCTCTGAACGACAATGGCCAATCCAGGGCGGTCTGCGCAAGAGAGGTGCCGAAACCTGCAGCTTGCGGCAAACAGCACCTGTGCATCCAATCTACCTAAGGCCTTCATGAATCCTGTGGGCAGTTGCGGAAGCCGGCCTCCCAAAATAGTCTGAACTCTTACTATGGCATATCGCCCTGGAAGCCTAAACAGGCATCTGGGAGAATTCGTGATCAAGGTCGTAGCTTTGCCTGACAAGAGACTACGTAACGTGAATCTACAGTGCTGGGGACATGCTGAATTGCGGCACAAACGAGCATCAACTTTGCAGCACACCATATTGCAGGCGGTCTAAGTACAGCTGGCAGGCCTTTTGGGCAGATTGGCATTTGCCAATTGCATTGCCTAACTCGTGAGAGCCCACCAGCCTGCTGGACCCTTGCCGAACTTCTGGAAGGCCTCCCTGACAGGATGTTTCTGCCAGAGGTCCAGCACTCATAGGCCACCATCACCCTCATGTTCGCCAGCCTGTCAAAATCAAGGCTCTTCTAGATCCTGCGCTGGATCCTGTTCGTGATGATCTTGCGCTGGACCTTGTTCATGATGTTTGTGCTCGTCCAGAGCCCTGTACACATCAAACAGCATTCCTGTGAGTTGGAAGCAGAATGTTTCACAAACTTGTTTCAGTCCTTAGGGATCTCACCAAAGCTCGAGAGGCTCACCGTGAAGGGGAGGTTTGTCAATGCAACCTCAACCTGTGCATCGGGAAGTGGTGTGATCTGAGACCACCAAGAAAAAAGCACAAGAAAAGTGCTGCGCCTATGCAAATGCCACACAGGTACTGGCCAACACATGAAGTCATTGTCCATGGCTTTGCCATCAAGCTCAGGCAAGCAATGCAGGGGCACCTGCTCTTTGAGATGCTCCCTTCTGGGGCTTCTCTCCCTGCTGGCTGGTTGAAGCAGCCTTGCGAGGCAGCGAGGCTGTCTTGGAGGCTGAAAGGCACATCCCCACCCCTGGCTGAAGCCCATTGGTTGTAAAATATGGGCTGGTTCATAGTCTCTGCAGGCTACATTAAATAGTCTGAGGCTGCTGCGCTGGCAACAACATTCGAGAGCAAGCCTCTGGCACAATAGTGTGGCTTCAGCACAGCTTGCAAGCTTTACAAGTTACTCCTCCCACCCTGTCCACCTTTATATATAGCTCTTGGATTTCTGTCTGCTGCAGCTGCACGGATTCTCGCAAAAGCAGATGGACGGAAGAACATGCAAGAAGCTCGAGGCATGCACAAGTACACAGGCCGTCGCTTCGGTTGCCTGCGCTACTTTCCTTTCGCATCCACTCGGCGTAGAATAACGAAACTTCGCTGGAACTTCTCGCGTTGGCGACCAGCACCACAAACAAGGAAGACATATATGATACATACAAAGGGCAAAAAGAGCCAATCGTCAGGCTCAGCAAATGCCTATACCCACAGCTCAAGTTTAGGACCGAGGAATGAGCAGAACAAGTCAAGGAAGTCAAGAAAACGATCCCTGCAGTGATTCCCCTCACTCAAGCCTCACAGCTCCTAAACTCGCGTCCAATCCGTTGCTTCTCGCGGGCGATGACGCTGACGTTCCTCGCTGCACAATCAATGCCGGAATGATACAGTATGCTTGTGATGATCTTCAAGGCTCAAGGGGTTTCGCAGTCCAGCAGGGCTTAATGCAGTGTCCTCCAGGCTGTCAAATATAGCTCGGTTCAGCCGCTGGATCGCGGTGTCCTCCATCTGCTGATGAAGATGTTCCGCTGCGAAGGTGCTGTCTGCACACGCATTGCACACATGCTCTTCCACATCTTCTATGCGGTCGCTCAGACAACGGAAGGCTGGCGCATCTCCTGAGAAACGAAAATAATTTCTTCGAAGAGCCGCCGGGCGACGTCTTTCTATGAACAGTCTCGTGTCTGTTGCGGCCATCGCGGAGGACCCTGCCAGACGGTCTTCCAGAAATGACTCTGGCACACACGAGAGGCATACGTCGTTGCCATTGAGACCATGCACGGGACAGAACCAGTGGTGACATATCTGACAGCATGATATGCTCTCAAGGGGACAGTATGCACATGGTGGTTGACCACTGGAGGCACTATACTGGAAAGGCAGCGCGTTCACTTGGAAATCTAGCGGCCGTACGGGCCCATGGCTCAAGATCCTGTCGCGGCGTAAGTGACACTGTAGTTGCAAGTTGGTTGTCAAAAAGAAATTCCAGGCAACGTCTTTGCCAACGTAACTGGTATGTGTGTGTATGGGTCTGAGTCAAGGACACGCATCTGGGAGTCGGGACCACCATTCGCTCGCCGTCGGAGAACCGAAATCGTATGGTCCTTGTGGCTTCGATTGGCCTGTGTATAATCAAGCAGGTACTGTTGTCTGGATTGCTCTCGTATTCTGCGCGTCTATGAGCAAGAACCAGGAACGATGCACCCGTCGGAAGCGAGCATTCCAAGGTCACCGCTCCGCAGGTCTGTCTGTGAGATCGCCAGTAAATGATCCTGGCTGGGCCAAGGATGTTCCCACTGATGCTCGGCAGATACTCGCCTGACCCATGAAGAATTAGCTTCTTGTCCAGTGCGGAGAGGTAGTGCAGAAAGTAGTGTGGGCAAGAAACACTGCGGATGCCCCTAGTCCAAGCTCCGAGCAGATTCTCAAAAAGGCGAGTTCGTCGAAAGGCAACACTCAGGTGCTGTGTCAAATGGAGGTCCACTTCGTGCCAAAACTGAATGTTTTGTATGGACTGCCAGAGAGTAGAATTGCACGACCCAAGTGCCATAAAGTCTGTCAAGCTTTCGAGAAAGAGGCACTGCAGAAGCATCAAGGAACTGACGTCCAGACCTCCAGCACGCAAATCATCTTGGCGAGCAGGCGGTCCTCTCTGCCCAGCGAGGTGCTCGTATACCCAGGACGTGCCCAGTTCAGTGGGCAGAACGCAACTCCGGCACTGATTTGTAGACAATCCTCCATGTCCCGAGCGAAAAACGTAGATAGCAATCTGAGCCTTGTGCGGGATTTGGTTGGGCTCTAATGGTAGACTGCCGAGATAGTAGCCATCCATGCAGACTTGTAGGGTGTCCAGCCACCATTGGACTTGGAAACGTCGCGTGCTCTGCATAGGGCTCCGTGGCATGTCGTAAATGCGTGTCCGTGCTGCTTCACGACTGCGTGAGTGGCTCATGCTGGACATAATTGATTCGCCTTGCAGATTGTTTAGTTCGCACCAACATCTTTCGCTGTTCGATGCTGTTCGTAGCTGTACCCACTGTGAACAGGCATCTCTCCGGCAAATCCTCCGCATTGAGGTCAAACGTGAGCAGCGCCAACACAGTCCCCTTGGATGTTTACTCAAGCAATGAACCAAGTTGGCTTAATGCAAATTCACACCAGCTCGAGGCTAAAGTAGCGGCGAACCTCGCGGGTACACGTTGATTCTGCACGTGCACAGAAACCCGAAGAACATATTCATGCACAGTGTGCTCAAGGCCTTGGATGGCGGCACATCGTGGCCGCCTTGAGCCCAAATGGCTACCGGCTGAGCTTTTTTGGATTCGGGGCCTTAAGGTCTCAGGGTTTACTTAGGCAAACAGTTCTTCCTAGAGACTCTGAACACTTTGAACAGAAGGTACCCACCGGAATGCTTAGTGCATGCAGCGGCGGTATCTGGCGAACAGGCTGACATTTGCCGCCCAGCCAAGAAGAAATAGAGCCACCATATAGCCAGGACGTATTACCTGGGCAGCTGTGATAACGCTGGGTATATTGAAGTGTAATTATACAATAACTATAAGGGATGCCGCTACTAGTTTCAGACACGTTCAACACTTCATCGGGGCTGTGGCAACAATTCAAAGCCTCCAGGCCCTTAAACCTAATCTTGAGCCTCACACATACGTACATACATACATCCACACAGCCGAACATCCATCCATCCACCGACCCACGCAGGCATGCATGCATACATGCACGCTTGCGTATATACATATGTACATACATACAGACATAGACGTAGCCGTAGACATAGACATAGAGAAAGAAAGAGACAGATACAGATATCGATATAAATACAGATATTGGTACAGATATAGGCATCGATATAGACAAAGACATAGATGTAGGTAAAGATATAGGCATAGATATAGACCCAGACATAGATATACACGCCCTAAGCTCCCCAAGTCTACTGCATACTTAGAACAGCCAAATACATCACGCGGATGCTCAACGATCCCTTCACGAAAGCAGAAATAGGCTTTTTAATAACTACACTTCTAAGACCTGCGGAACCTGCCATCGGGAATCATAAGGTTCTGCTCCGCCACTCCTTTCATCCTCTACCAAGAGGGTCGGTCAACAGCACAAGGGTCATCGATATTTAGGGATCCCTAGTTGTCAATGATGAGGATCCTGCTAGTATCATTGTATCATGGTGAAACTCTCAGTTCGGAGTCTTGATCCGTGAACACAATAAACCCGAAACCCGCCGAACCTCGCAGCTTCTTTTTCACGGGTTCTTCCCTTCGCAAGGTCTGCAGAAAGACGCGCGAGGGCTGCAGGGACGCAGCCGTGGAGGAGGCGTAGCATGGTCCCACCGGGAGGCAACTTTTCCTTGGGCTTTAAAGGGAACTCCAGAAAGTTGGAATATGGTTTCAGGGTAGGATACCCTATAATTTACCATAAAGGGTTTAGGATAGTCATATTCCAACTTTCTGGCTTTTACTTTAGGGTTTCAGGGTTTCGGGGACTTGGGAACGGGGGTTGAGGTTTAGGGTTTTGGATTTGAGGGCTTAGGTACAAGGGTTAGGGGCTAAAAGTCTATAATTGTGCGCTTCACTGCAGCTATAGCCTATGAAGTCCCAAATCTCTCAAAGATGCGAAGAACAACGAAAGGCTCATAAAAAGTACTAGAACACCTTGCGAAGTGGGTAGGGCATCCAATAAATTCTGCTCTGATGATAAAGGCCCCCATATTACTTCGGCCATCATAAGCAGAGCCCATCGGTTGTAGGGACTGCGAGTCCTAGGGTGTAAATATCTGGCTTGGGGTTTGGAGTTTGGGGTTCGGGCTCAGTGCCCAGGGTTTAGAGGTGTTGTGGCCATGGGGCATTTGGGAACTGAGAGCCTGGGAACTGTCTGGATTAAAACTCAGCAGCTTTGCCTTAACTATCCAAGGGAGGGGGCAGAAAAAAGCTGGGCTAAGGGTTTAGGGCTGGCGCGTGGCGAACCATTTAACCCGCAGGTTCTGAGGCTTCACTTGAGGCTTTTCGGAGCTAGGACGAGTCGGTACTGTGTACTGTAATTAGTACCCTTCTCACCACGCTGGGATTATATCGACCCAGAGTGTTAAAGTGGCTAAAGGCTACCAACTCAGCGACTAAGGTAGAAAGCTTCGGGGGCTGTTGTCAGTCTTAAGGTAAGAGTCCATCGGGCGGAAGTGATTGGCGGCAGCCGGGTGTCGTGTTAAGTGTTTAGGAGCAAGGCGTTTCTTAGGCCAGTCATGTAGGCCCCTCATGAAATCCTAAGCCGACACAGTTTCACCCCTTAACCTACAATTCCCGAACGGCTGAAATCCTGCCGCACCCTATCTATAGATCCCCAAATGGATTGGTATCTTAAGATTCAGGATTTAGGGATAGGGAAACTGTCTTCCCATAGTACCTACCTTAAGCTACTATAACCGAACAAGAAGAAGGTTCCTATTGTAAACCCCAATAGTGAATGTAGAGGGACCCTACTTTTTTGCTGGTTTTGGTAGCTTAAGATAGGCAAGACATCTCCAACTTGGTCGAAACACTGAGGATTCCAGGAAGGCTGCGAACGAGAGCACATCTCGATCCTAAAGCGCACTGGGTTTTTTTTGTTTCGGGGGTTCCTTTAAAGGGTATGATAGGGGTTCGTATAAAGGGCTATGAGATCTATAATAGGTTTGGGGATTCAAGGCTATGGCTTCAGGGCTTTGAGGATTCGGGGTTTGGGCGAGGGGCTTTCCTACCTGCAAGAGACCAAAGAGACGAAAAGTTGAAACTTTCAGAATATGCATAGTTTGGGGCTTGCTACGCTTTTTTTGAGGCAGACGTTTGGGGTTCAGGGTGTTCCCCACAAGCACCACAGAACAACCATCAACTCTGCGACTGGCCCAACCCGCTGGGTGCCTATAAACCTGCGCGCAAACACAAGACAACACCGCAGACATGTAGCCTGACATCCACTACTTCAACTTCGGACCTTGATATTTGGAAAAATGCTTTGCGGTATGCCTCTGCTATAATCTTAGTTCATTTACAAAGAAGCCTCCAGGAATAACATCAACAAAACTCGACCCCTACATAACCCCGAAACCATAAATCACGCCCCTGAAAACACAAAAAAACAGATGCCAAGTGCGACCGCCGAATCGGGTAGGAAGCTCAGGAGCAAGCTAGACCTGGCATACAGAGGAGAAGCATGACGCAGGGGGCAGGCTCAGGGGCCCTTGGGCAAAGTTTAGGGTGAAGAAGTTTAGGGTTTGAGGTCTGTAGTTTACACGGATTGGTTACTTGTTTTGGACATTCCTTTAACTTTGGTGTAACCTGGAGTCGCTGAAGTACGTGTAGCCCAATCCCAAAGCATCTACTGTACAAGTACAGGGACCTGGAATGGTATGATTCCTGTCCCGAAACACCACGAAGGCAAAGTCGGTACGATTTCAACCACCCTCAATAGAAGCCCCTTACAGGTGAGTAGTTCCTCTTCCATAGTACTCCCATAAGACCCCCTTTACCTTATAGGAGTGGTATGGGAGGCTTATGGGAAACTACCCACCTTATAACTACCCACCTGTAAATGTCTTAGACTCAACATGATTCATGGTTAAGGTTTTACGTTAAACAATGGGGGACATTCAAAATGATCCAAACGTCGGTACCTAGCAAGTGTGTAGGTAGATGGTGCCTTCTGGGTAACCTTTAACTCTGATGCAAGCCCCAGAAATGGAACCGCAACAGCTTTCTTAAAGCCAAGCGGCTGCAGCCATTGCATTGCCCGGCTGCACGCGCCCACGGCGGCATTGCCGACACCGTAGGTGAGAGGCATGTCCTACAGGGCCCCAAGAAGCATTGCCAGTTTGGGAGTTATCCCTAGGTTGCCCGGTAGCTCCCTAACACTATTGGTACCCTTGTTCCTACCGATTGATTTTAACCAGGGACCCCAAAAGAAAAAACGCAACAGCGCACTACTGGGGGTGTGAGGCCTCAGCCCGGTGGAAACCCTGCAAGGGCAACTCCCAGTATTTCGTGATGGCCCCGAGCTGAAAGGATCCTTCTTATAGGGTTGATGATATATATTCTGCAATATTTTAAGAGGCCTAGACTACGGGAATTATGGTACATTCCGTATTGTGGGTAATGCAAGATTTATATCATCAGCCGTATGGAAACCCTGAGGAATAGTGTCGACTAAACTTCCTCCAGCAGCTGCAGTGCGCTGGTCCAGAAAGCTGACCTCTCGCAGCAGCTCATGACAGGGAGGTTCATGGCCTCGTCGGTCTGGAGGCCTCGTCAGTATTTCGTCAAAAGGGGGGGTTGCTGTACTCGGGGATCCGAAACACTGAAGATCAGTAGATTTCAGGTTTGAGGGGTCCTGACAAGCAGGAGTTGTTTGGAGTTTACACGGGGTGTGTGATGGTTTGCTGAGCTCGCACGTTGCCTTGGGCTTATCGAGGGTTGAGAGTTTACCCGGACGCCAGCCGTCCATCGGACCCGCAACTTATCACTAAATAAGAAATAAACAAGTATATACACATATAAATATACACATACATACATACATACATACATACATACATATATATACACATGTATATACATACATGGATGAGCATCTGTGTGTGTGTGAGTATGCATGCATAAACAGTGCATATATATATGTATACGCATATGTATATATATAATAAAATAGTTTACAATATAATGTAATATAATACAATATAATATAATAATATAATATAATATAATATAATATAATATAATATAATACAATACAATATATTATAACAGAATATAATATAATATAATATGATATAATATAATATAAAATAATACAATATAATATAATATATTATAGTATAATATAACAAGATATAATAAACTATAATATCAAAGAAAATAATACAATATGTATGTATGTATATATATATATATATATATATATATATATTACATTGCTCGAGATATTTGTATGCGACCCGTGGCCCGTCCTTCTCAACTGATCTGTGACAGCTGCGGCTTGGGGGCTGCTTCCACGGCTGTTGGAGTGAGGTTGAGGTGTCGAGGGCAGGACCTATATTTGGGAGGGTTCTACGTCATGTCCCAGTCCTACCACCATAATCGAGAACATAAAGCGCAAACTCGTTTACTTCCATGGTCGTGTGAAAGAGAGCTCCTGGCATTTCCAGCGCTTGGCGCAACTTCATGGCCGAATGCCAGCGCTGCCCCGCTTCGCAGGCAGTCAGCGTCGCGGTCATGAACACCGCATCCTCGGCTATCCCGGCTCAGAGGTTGCAAAGGGAGGTCTTAGGGGTCTTAGGGGTTTGGGGGTTTAGGGGTTTGGGGTTTAAGATTTTAGGGCTTAGGGTTTTAGGGTTTAAGGTTTTAGGGTTCAGGGTTTTAAGGTTTTGGGGTTGCGGGTTTTAGGGTTCTAGGGGGTTTAGTCCGAGGTGTAGGAATTCGGACTTCAAACCCCAAAATTTGAAAGCAAAACTTCACCCTTAGGATCTTAAGACCTTGGCGAAACTCAAAAGCCGCCACTCCATAAGACTTCTCCTATCCTCCACAACCCGAAACCGAAAACACGCAACAAGAACCCGACGGACCCCGTAGAGAATCCTTACAGGTTTATGTCAGAAAAGGGACCTTGTAGTCCTTGTAGTACCCTGAAACAGGAACCATTAAAGAAGCCCAATCTTAAACTAAATGAATGACCCCCGAAGAAACGCTAAAAACATCCTTAAACTCGAAGCCCTGAATGCTCTAGTTAAAACCCCCCAAACCCTTGAGATCCTTTAAACCTCCCTCAACCCAAGGAGTGACCCTTAACACAAAACCCAAAAGCACCCTTAAACTCAAGCCCTAAACCCTAAACCCTAACGATACATCCCTTATAGATCCGATGTAGATCCCTTAAAAGGAGCCCTTGGAGATCCCTTAAAAGGAGCCCCAGGTCCCGAAGCGTAAGGTTCGGGTTTACCTGGATATCCCTACCTTCTTTGGCTTCCTTTTAAGGGGGTTTATATGGGATATCCCTATCCAATTTTTTGCTTATGTGCTTTTTTGGGGCCCCATAAGTTGGCCTAAGCCGGGGCACCGGCTCCGGGCCCCCGCTTAGACGCAGCTCCTCGAAGAGCCAAAGGCCGAAGGCCCAAGCCAGGCCGCGCCTTTCAGGGTTTAGAGTATTGTAAGTTGAGGTTTGGGGGTTTAGGTCAGGTTTAGGGGCTCAGGTTTTAGCGTATTATAAGTTGAGGTTTGGGGGTTTAGGGATTAGGGTTTAGGGTTTAGGGGTTTAAGGTTTAGGGATTTCAGGGTTTCAGCTTCGGGGTTTCGGGGTTTCGGCGCTGAAAATCGGAGAATCCAGGCGAGGCATGTGGTTCGAGGTCTGTGGAGTGAAACTAATCTAGTGGGAATGCCAAAGCAGCTTCGGGGTTCAGGGTCTAGGGATTTGGGGGGTTTTAGGGTCTAGGGATTTAGGGGTTTAGGGGTTCGGGGGTTAGGCATTAAGGATACGCTCTCGCAACTCGGACACTCGAGGTCTCTGGAGGGTTCAGAGTCTAGGGCCTTTTGATAGGGTAAGTATAATAGCGGTACATCTACATATATATATATATATGTGTGTGTGTTTGTGTGTAAAGACCCCTCTCTCTCTCTCTCTCTCTCTCTCTCTCTATATATATATATATATATATAATATGTACATCTATATATGTCGTTTCAAATGTATATACTATATTGGACTATATTTATGTATATAGTTTAAACATGAACAAACACCCATATATATATATATATATATATATATATATACATGTATGTATGTATGTATGTATGATCGAAAACCTAAAGAAACAATGCGCGTCCATCTGGCACTGTATGTACACAGTTAAACACACGTGCTGTATGTATGAATGTGTGTGAATGCACGCGTGTGTATATCAAATGTTGTGGATCAACCCTTGCCTGAAACAGGTACAGGCTGATACAAACTACTGAACAGGGTGTCACATGCCGTGTGCTGCACGAGATAGCGGCATACGTATGTGCATATACATACATACATACATACATAATTACATACATACACAATATTTAAATACACAGACACACTCATTTACAGATTCATTTTTCTCGGATGTGTTCAATGGGTTGCCGCCTTTTACAATTTGGTGCTTTGGGGTGTCGAGGATCTGGTGCTAGACTTTCTCTTTGTTCAAGCAGGACTTGCTGGCTACTCTGCTCCGCAAACCCCAGGCTTTTTCTTTTAGACCGTTCTGTAGGAGTTCTAACTCTAAATGGGAGTTTCCGAAAATAGGGGATCCTGATTTAGTACCGAATAATATGGTACCCTAATTGGGACCCTAATTTTCGGAAACTCCCGAATAAACTCAAGTACATTTGTTAAGAACCGCGCAAAGTAACTACAATCTGGTTTTGCGGGCTGGGGACTTACATGAGATAGAGCAATCTCTTGGTTCTCACGGTTCAACAGTTCAAGGCTTCAGGGTCTAGCGCGGTCAAGTTCAAGGTTGACTTGGAGGTGCTGTTAAAGCATTTGAGAAATATTAGTAGGTAAGATCCTCTTAAGCCCAATAAGAGCAAATATAAAATGTCCCAAAGCCCCACCTAGTTGAGGGGTCGATCAAATCGGAGCTTCAGGGTTAAGGCTTCTCCTTGTGCAAGCACTCGCCGCTGACGCGAAGCTGATCTCATCCTCAGCTGCGGCTGGAAGTGTTTGTGCCAGAAGTTCGAAATTCAGAAAACTCACAGAACTATATGCCGTAAGCCAAAAGATAAAGGACGTATATAACCACTGATTTGCACAGTACAGTTTTCGAGGTTCCGCACCGAACTACTAGAAAAAACAAGTAGAGAACCCTGATGTCAGGAACAATGCGCCTAAGCATTCAGGCCCGTCAGTTTAACTTGGGGTGCTTATGCAAAACTCTTCATCGTGATCCTGGTGGATTTCTTCTCAAACTCATACTCGGAAATAAAACAAATCAAGCTGTGGTATGCTGCAGTATGGGCCATAGGACAGGGTATAAGGTTAAGGGAATAGGTTAAGGGTTACTATTTGGGGTCCATAGTCCGCAGCACTTACAAGCGGTTGTTTAGGGGGCATAGTAGTACACTTGGAGGGTCGGGGGACTTAGTAAGTAGGTAGTAAGTATAAGTACCCTAAAAGGGACCCTAATTGGGGTTTAGGTACTTATAAGTCCCGAAAAGAACCAGTTACTAAGCCCCCCACCGTTAAGCATAATCACACAGGGCCCCCGAGGAGAAGATGATACAAATTATTCCGCCAGGTATGATGCTCTCCGAATGTACGTCCATGGGTAGTTATAAGTGGGGTTACACGTATAGCTACCCTATTTATAACCCTGCTTATAATTACCCATGAACCTCCAGGCAGAGCCCCGTGGCGGAGCCTTCGGGGTTTCGGGTCGCTTGACTCCTCTCCACAAAACGCAGTCGCAAAAAGGCTACTCAAAAGCTGAAGCCATTAAGCCCTAAACTCTGTCAAGGGCATCTCCGACTAAGATACCGTGGATATAAAGTCCGTCAAGAATACCCACTGGCGACAGAGGGTTGTAGGAACGTTTGAACACTTTCATGGGCGATGCCAGACAGGAAGCTACAGGCAACATTGGAACCTTATTCGTCTGTTCACAATAATACAATATACAATTGTATTGTTTCGTGGAAAACTCTCGACCCTTATTAAGAAGAGACCCTTGGGAAAACTTACCCACTGCAGCTGCGAGCAGCCAACTGCACTCGACAGCCCCGGGCCAGTCGCAAGAGGAGCCTCAATTGCTCAGGTCATGAGCTCAACGCAGAGAGCCCCATACGCGCAGTCCTTTTGACTAAGGAACGAGGGATTACGCTTGAACTGAACTCGGGTGAGTTCCGGATGATGGAGTGAGGAATACTATCTCATGAGGGAGTGTTGGGGCTCACGGAAAGAGTGAACTGTCGGCTTCGGCTGCAGGGAAAGTTCAGGGCTGGCCCAGAAAGTACGAACAACTCCAAAGTCGCCCAACCGACCACAGCTTCAACAACAACGCCGAACATAGGGTCCCATATAAACCCTCTTATAATGAAGCCCATTAAGGTAATATCCCTCTAAAATGCTTATGCCTATGTGGTTTTTTGGCCCCTAAGAAGAACATTAACTTTCAGGGTTACATCATTTACATCCACGAGGTAAAAACCCACGTAGGTAGGTACATCAGTAGACAAAGATAGACAGACAGGTACTTAGATAGAAAGAGATGGTTAGATGCCGCGACAGACAGATAGATCGATACGTAGGTAAATAGATAGGCAGGTAGGGATGTAGATAGATAGCTAGATTGGTAGGCAGATGGACGGAGAGAGTGTAACATACTCGTCGTTCAGCGGTTCTAACCCCACTCGTTGTATACGCTTTGTTGCCACATGTTTACGAAAGGCTGCCGAGTCAAGTTCAGCTCCGTTCCGGGAAGTGCAGCGTACTTCTGCGGATGCTTCAGCTCCCTCACCCAACCCATATGGGTGGTTGTCAAGATTAGGGTCCCTTTTTGGGTACCCGAATTTATAGGTGCCGTATTATACTAAGTACCCAAAAAGGGACCATAGTTTTGACACCCAACCATATGAAAAGCCACGTGCAAGACCAGGGTCTGGGAAACACCATCTAAGCCCGATTCTTAGACCAACACAAAGACAGGACAAACAAACAGCTACTTGTGGATTCCTGCCGATAACACACATTGAAGCAACAAACAACATTTGCTTGCAAGCAGGCACAAAAATCAAAGATCACAAGGCACAACAAGATGCAAAACGCAACAAGGAACCGTGAACCCCTAAACCAGAAACCCTAAACACGCACGCGCGCACACACACACACACACCCACACCACAAGGAAACCCTCTTGCATAAGGACTTGCGCGCAATCGCCTGGGAAACCCTAGACCCCTGATGGCAGAACCAACAGAAGCTGCAAACTACTATCAATGCCAATCGCAATACAAGCATTACCACGAGCCAGATCTCGTGCAGTGCAGAAGCCTTAAGGACTGATAAGTCAAAACAAATCTAAGTCTGTCAACCCTTACAGACCTACCTTACAATCAATCCACGGAACCCTCACATGAAAGGAAGCCCTAAACAACAACCCTACTTATACCCGTCCTTCTGAAAAACACTCGTAAGGCCAACACCTTAAGTATACTATCATCATGTCCAAGGATAAAGGAGGGACCCTTA